CCCCCTCCCTCCCCCCACCTTGCCCACTTGAAACCCCTCAGAGGCCCCTTGATTTGTCCGTTTCCACATGTCAGATCAGAAGAGTATCAGAAGAGTATAGAGGGGTTGCGACGGGATCTTACATGTCAATGGGCTTGTCTGAGATGTCAGGATGGAAGTAGATGCTGATTCCGATCTCGAATTCCCCCCAACCCGTTTCATTGAGCTCGAAAGGTGGATTTTCAACAACCCGTGTCGGGTTGCTGAAGCTAGGATGGAGCTGAAACACCACTTTCTTAATGATCGCCGACAGGTCTTCATTATTCACAGCCCGGACGTAAACAGTCCATTTGTGCGAATGGTACCTGGCAAGAGGAGGTGTCAGAGCGTCGTCCCCAGGCCCAAAGCGCACCCCAGAAATGACCTTGAAGTTCCTCTTCAACAAGAGAGCACCCGTTCAGTTTCAACAAAAAGTGACTGCCAGTTTGCCAGCGCATGAACAAAAAATATACAAATTTTAAAAAAGCAAACCGTAGTAGCCCACAAAAGCATGTGGAAAAAAAAAAAAAGCATGTGAGACAAAATTAAAGGGCAGGACAAGGGTACCTGTTGCGGCTTCGCTCACAAGGGATTGAGGGGGAAATGGGAGAAATGAGTCGGGTGGTGGGTTCGGTGGGTTTTGGGGTGGTGGTCGGGGGTGTTTTTAGACTCATGGTCCAGTGGGGGGTTGTGCCCTAACAGCTATGACAATGTGTGTGCAGCACCTCCTGCTAGTTGGGGAGGTTCTGCAACAGCTGGCTTTGGAAATCGGCATGCTACTGTCTTCCCCCGACTCTAAATTGTGTTTTGACTGAAACAGCCAGGGGACAGAGTACCAGACTCCAGGCTGCTACTCTGGCCCCTGACCAACTCCGCCTGCAGCCTGCTACTCTGGCCCCTGAAACGGCCCAGGGCCAGAGTACCAGGCTGCAGGCCGAAACGGCCAGGGGCCAGAGTAGCAGGCTGCAGGCAGAAATGGTCGGGGGGCAGTGTATCATGGCCACGTCGCCCTATCCTTATCACAACCTCGTACCCCTTCTTATGAGAAAAACTTCAAATCAAAAGCGCTACAAGTGAGTGCTATGCGCTACCCGAGCCCACTGCATTCTGGGGTGTAGCAAGCCACATCGTCGCGCTCAGCCCACACATGAGGGAGAAGGAGAATAGAGGAAAGGAGGGGGGCACAGGGGAGGGCAGGAGGTGCGGTGGCGAGTTAAGGGAGGGAAGTGTAGAACAAGGACTTCTACAGAGTGAACTTCTATTCCAGGTAAAACGACTCTCAATCCTTGTCTGTCTATGCTTGCCGGGGATAAGCAACCGGACTGATGCCCCCCAGAATCGATGGTGCCT